CAAAACCTGGACCCTTGGATTTTGAATTTGGACCCCTGTCTCCTAATTCCCTGACCCCTGCATCCCTGCATCTCCAAACCCCTGAGCCCTGCATTTCAAGCCACTGACCCCTGCATCCCTGCATCTCCTGACCCCTGACCCCTGCATTTCAAATCCTGGACCCTTGCATTTTCCAGCTCAAAATCTCCCAACTTGGCCCCTGAATTTCTACCTTTGGATTTTGACACCTAAGTCCTGACTCCTGAAGCTCTGGCCCTGTCCTCTGTCCCCTGGCCCCTGCATTTTGCAACGCCTTACCACTGCATTTGAAGGCTTGCACCCCTACATTCCAAATCCCTCATCCCTGCATTTCAAGCTTTGGAACCCTAATGTGGAGCAACAGGTGAAACCCTAAACTGGAGCTCTTCTGTGGCGCAGCCTGTGCTGTTGCTATAGGGGCATTTTCTGTCTATGGGTTGAAGGTGCAACACTCCACCACACACAGTCAAACACTTTGTTGACGGCCGAGCAGAGGAGATAGTCTCTGTTGATTCAAGGGCCCGCCGAGCTTGCCCTCTCGCTAGATGTAGCACTTTTGCCACTCGTCGTCGGTCTGTACAAATGTCAGGCGGTCTACAAAGGCATCGAGGGGGCAGAGGAAGGCGTGTCGGCGCCTCCTCGACGAGGGCGGGGCGGGACACCAGCTCCGATCGGTCGAGAGGAGCTGGCCGTTTGCGCGGATGCGGACGTACTCGCTCCTTGCGCCGCCGCCCTGCTGCTGCTGCTCGGCATGGGGAGCACGAGCGCGGCACCGCACCTTTTCGATCTCGATCTTGCCGCCAAAGGGGGCAATGTGGCTGAATCGCCAGGCGCGCGGGCGGAGCTGGGCGTCGCGGGCGGTAGAGAGGCGGGGCCCATCAAAGAGGCCGAGAGCGGCTACCATGGGCCCGATCTCGTTGTCGTGCGACGTGTCGAGATAGATCCTACCGTCGTCGACGGGGAAGAGGGCGGGATCGCCATCGACGGTCGTGTTGAGGCTGGTCGGCGGATCGAGGACGGGGGCCGTGTTGGTCAGGCGGGCCCGCAGTTCGCGGAGGTAGCCCTGGCCGAGCGCGCGGTGGTAGGGGTTGCCATAGCCGGCGCCGTAGTACTTGCCCACGTCGTAGACGTAGCCCAGCGCCTCCCAGTCGTCGTCGCGGAAGAGCGAACAGAAGCCGCTGGGGCGGTGGCGCACGCGGTAGCCGGGCAGCAGCTCGGCGTCGATCAGGGTCTCGAAGGCGCACAGATTCGACAGGTTGACGAGGTCGGTACCGCTGAGGGTGAGGTTGCGCACGCCGGCGGTGCGGAGGCGGTCGTCGAGGCGGCGGCCGACAGTGTCGAGCAGCGTCGAGTTGGTAAAGAGAGCCTGGGCGCCGTCCTCGGTGTCCGGGCCGGTGAGGGCATCGGCGGCGGGGCAGGTGTCGACGTGGAGGGTGTTGTTCTGCCCGTCGTGCTCGGAAAAGATGACGTCCGGGAGCGGCAGCGAGGCGCGGGCAAATGTGCGCACGGCGTCCGAGGTGTCGAGCGGTGCCGAGTGGAACGGTACGTCCTGGCCATGGAAGCCGGCGAGCCAGTACTGGGCCGTCAGGATGACGCGGTCCGAGCCGTCGAGGTCGCCGGTGCTGCGGGCAAAGGGGACCGCCTTTGCGAGCACCGGGAAGCGGGTGGCGGCCGAGCGGCCGCTGTACCACGCCTGGAGGGCGCCGTAGGGGATGAGGCTGTCGGAGGCGTTGGCGAGGGAGGCGTCCTTGACGAAGCGGTGCTCGGGCAGCAGACGGCTGAGGTCCTGGACGGCGCGGATGGACGACTGGAGCTTGACGAGCGTCGCCGATGCACTCTTGAGGGCCGACTTTGTCAAGTGGCGTGCGCCGTGCCGCTCGAGCGAGTGCAGCTGTACCGTCTCGCAATGGTCGGGGAGGGGGGTGCGGTAGTCGGCGGGCGAGACGGCGAAGCGCGGGCTGTACTGGCCCAGTCGCCGGAAGGGGGTCGAGGCGAGGCCGCGGTTGAGGATGGCGCTGCCGTCGTCGTACGACTGCGGTGCGGACGAGGCGTCAGAGTGGGTCGAGAAGACGAGGAGAAGGAGCAGCCAGGCCGAGAGCCGGCGTACAGCTTGGTAGATCATGGCGGTCATCGTCGTAGTCGTCGTGGTCGTCGCCGGTTCTGTGAGGGCGGCCGTCGACTCTATGGCGGCGAGGATGGAGACGAGGCGAGTCTCTAGTTGGGGGAAAGCGTCGGTGGCGGTCGACGGGGCCAGCAGGCCGAGCGCGGGTGCCATGTTTATACGCGGCCGCGCATGGCGAGGCACAAGGAGCTTCCCGTGTTGGCCGGCGGATCGTTCGAGGTGAGGGCGAGTCGATCAGAGTGCCGAAGTTGAGGAGGATCAGTGAGTTCGAGGTCGAGGAGCGACGGCGTTGCGTGCTCGCCGCATGTGGCCCTCATCTCGCTGATCTTGCGAGATCGCCGGACGGCAGCGGTGGTTCCGAGCCGGCGGGTTCCATGGCCGTTCCGTAGAATTGTCTGTTCATCGAGAAAGTCGTGGGGGCAAGGGCGGCTGGGAAGAGGTTGGGAGGGCGCGAGAGAGAGAGAGAGAGATAGAGAGAGAGGCAGAGATGGTCGAGAAGCTGCAGGGTTGCGCTGGAGCGAAGCGCACGTTCTTCGCACGGTGCATGCAGTGCTGCCAAAGAGGCGGGGTTCGGACGGGCCGAGGGGGCGGAACGTGCGCCCCGCCGGAGCCGAGCCGGGCTGCCAGACCTTCTGGATTGTTGGCCCCTGCGTCGCGCCGCACGTCGGTCGCCCCCCTCCCCTTTCCCCTCGCGACAGCCAAAGAGTGGACAGCTCGGCGGGTCAGACAGGATGCCGCGCCACCCGGGAGCGCTCGTTTGGTCCGGTTCCGTAGCCGTGAGGGAGTGACAAGGATCTCGGACTCGCTACGCTGATGGCCTCGACGAGGGCGCACAAGTAGAAGTCGACGAAGGTCAGAGAGCCCCCAGAAAGATCCGCGCGTCGACGCAGCGCCTGCCCGCCACGGCCGAGCACAAGCGCTATCCTCCTTGACTGAGGTGACGTATGGCATTCCACTTTGCTCGTTCCCAATCCTTTGTCCGTCCGCCGTCCCCCTGCAAGGCCGCGCCACGCCACGCCCCGCTAAGCAACCTGACTCTTGAGCGCATTGATCTCCTTTACGACCTCGGCCGCCGCCCTCGGCGACTCTGCCTCGAAATCGTACCGCTTGACCTCCTTTGGGCTCTCTCGCCACACGACCAGCTTAAACGATCCCGGGGCGCGCTCCGACACCTTGCACGCGACGACGTGCGAGATGTGGAAGCTGGCCGCCTTTTGAAAGGTGCGCATGTCGACGGGCATGATGTGGACCCAGTCCCCGTCGAGCGTCAGGCTCCGCTCGTGCCGCGCAGCCACAAACATGGGCGTCTTGCGGTACACGGTAAACGTCTTGTAGCTCGCCGTCACGTCGAGCGCCTTTGTGTACTTTGGGTGGCTCGGCTCCGTCGAGAAGCGCTTGAAGATCGACGCGTTCGGATTCGAGGACTGCGTCGAGAGCGCACCCGACCCGGCCTCGAGGCCCAGTGTCGAGCGTCGCACCAGCGCCAGGTCGTGGTTGCCCTGCAGGCTCTCGACGGTCCGATCCAGCGGCACGACAATCGACTTGTCCGGCACCACGAGCGCCCACTCGTCGACGTTTTCCAGGTGCCGCTTCCGGCAGATCATCTCGAGCACGTCGGCCAGGTACATGTCCGACGGCACCTGCAGCGTCGTCTTGTACCGCACCTCGGGGTTGGGCGTCACCAGCACGCGCAGGAAGATCGACGTCGACGACGGCCCCATGGCCGAGCGCGACAGGGCGCCCGTCGCAAAGATGGGCGTCCCCTGCACGCTGATCATCGATCCGGCGTGCGCACCCGCCTGCGGAACGGCAAGACGACCGGCTCCTCCCGCTCCTGCTGCTGCTGCCGCTGCCGCTGCCGCTGCCGTAGCCGCCGCTGTGCCCGCCGTTGCCATCGCTGGCGCCGTGGCGCCACCCGTGGGTGTGGCTCCGCCCGCTGCGCCGTCAGCAGCCTTGTCGGGCCGGGCCGGCGTCGCGACGCGGCTGGCGCGCCGCAGGATGGCGCCGTAGGCCTCCTTGTGCTGCTTGACCTGCGCCGCCGTCGCCTCGACAATGGCAAACTCGTCGCCGCCGAATTTGGACAGCGTGAGGTTGCGATCGATGGCGGGAAAATCTTCGTCCACCTCGCCGTCCTCGACGATGCGCAGCGTCCAGCCGATCGTCGACAGGCGCGTCTGCTGCTCGTCGTCCGACAGCCCGCCCGCGTCCAGCTCCGGCTTCCACCCCTCCTCGGCGTAGCAGTAAAGGCCGTAGCCGATCAGTTCCTCCATGGTGGCGTCGCGCCGCACGTTGAGAGTCATGCTCTTGGCCTTGCCGTCGGTCCTCACCGCACCGCTCTTTTGCGCGGCCGCCGACGTCGAGGCCGTCTGGGCCCAGGGAAAGTAGATGTCGACGTTCATGCTGGGCGCCGTGCCGGACCGACCGGCGATGCCCGCGTAGAAGGCGGCGAACGGGTTCTCGCTGCTGGCTTCCTGCTTGTGGAGCAGCGTCGAGAGCGCCGACGTCTTTGGAATGGCTGCGTGGCGCTTGGCCACAGTCTCTGGCGATGCCTTGAGCGAGGCGAAAAACTCGTTGCGGGCCTGCTCCTGCTGCTGCTGGTGTTGCTGCTGTTGCTGGAGCCGAGAACGGTCGCGCAGCTTGGCCGAACGCTGCTTCTTGGGTCTCTGTTGGCCCTGGGTCGGCGCGGTGCTCGCTTCGCCGTCGACAGCCGGCCCGGCAACGTCTGATGGTGATGATGAGCTCGGTCCCGCCCCATCAGACGGCGGCATGCGGCGGGCATGGACGGGCGAAGGCCTGGCCGTGGCGCCCTGGCGGTCGAGGAGGTCGTGCTCCTCGGCCATGCTCGACGGCGACGACGCTTGGAGCCCGGGCGGTATGGGAGACTTGACCATCGAGTCTTGTACGGCGGGAATCGAGGGCAGCTCGATGCTTCCTGCGCGCAGGTAATCTGGCGACCCGATGCTCGACGGGAGGATGTTGGAGTCGGTGGAGCTCTCGGCATAGGACGATGACGAGGGCTGCTCGGCGCTACGAATTGGCTGAAACGCTGCGAATGCGTCGTCGCCCGGGTCGGATGCCAGCGCCGTCGTCCTCGGTGCTGTAGCTACCGCTGTCGAAGCTGGAGCCGGATCCGCGACCGGTGGAGGCTCATCGGCCTGCTCTGCGCTCGACAAAGTGGAGAGCGGGGATGGCTTGGGCGGTGGGCCGGTCATGGGGTGACGGGCCCCGCCGCCGCCGCTGCTGCTGCTTTCGCCTGCGGCGGTACCGTTTGCTGCCAGGGTGTCGGCCGAGGAATCTGGCTCGTCGGGCAGGCTGAGTTGGGGTGGTGGTGGGGGGCTGAAGGCGTCGTGGTCGAGCGGGGCCGTCTGGGGATCCTCTCGCAGCGACTCGGGCCTCGAGAGGACGTCTTGCGAGGCGTCCGGAACCGAGGCTGAAGCTGACGCCGTCGCTGCTGCCGCCGAGGGAGTCGCCGGAGTTGCGGGCGTGGCGGATCTGGTGGCGGCTTGTGATGGATGTTTGCTGTGGCGCCTTCCGTCTACGCGCATACCGAGGGCGCCGGATCTGCCGGGTCCGTAGATGGTCGAGGTGTAGCGTAGGCCCGACCCGATCTTTGCGTGTCTGTTCCTGGTTGCATCTTGGGCGAGGGGAGAGGATTCGAGGTCCGAGGCCGACGAGGTGGCGGGGATTGTTGCGTTTGCGCTTCCACCTTCGGGGAGGGGCGAGTGTAGGGATAGGATCTGTGGATGGAGGGTCGAGTCTGCGAGTCCTGCGAGGGCGACGTGGGTGTCTACGGCGTGGGGCTGGTGAAAGGGGGCGGGGCCGAGGTAGGCGGAGGTGGTCGAGTAGGTCGGGCGGTGGAGCTGGGCGGCGAGGTTGGACGAGGACGAGGACGAGGTAGAAGGGTTGTGCGATGGTGGTAGGCGGTGAGTGGCGTCTGGGTTGTGGGATGGGAGCGTGATGATGCGCGGGCCGTGGTGGTCGTCGATGCGTCGGAGGTATGCCAGCCTGAGCGAGTGGATGATGTAGTCCGGGTCAACGACGAGCGACATGGCGGGTGAATGGGCTGGGTGGGTTGGCCAAGGGGCTGAGCACAGAGGAAGGACGGGCGGGCGGGCGAGGGAGCGAGAGAGAGACAGAGTCTGGCGGGTGCAACTGCGAGTGGTGGTGTGGCTGTGCTGTGCTGTGCTGTGCTGTGCTGTGCTGTGCTGTGCTGTGCTGTGCAGCTGGGCAGACTACTGCAGTGCCCTTCTGCAGACCACCTCGTCGGGACCAGCCGATGGTGAAGGCTCGTTGGAGCGCGAGAGGTAGTGGTGGTGTGATGGGCAGGCAGACGAGGATGTCGACGTCCAGAGATGGAAGGGACGGCCAGAGAGAAGCGGGCTGCCCGACCAGGGGCCCGCTGCCAGGCCGGTGGAGGCCAGATAGACCAGGGCGGGCCCTGCCGTACCATGCGTTGGCCGAGGCGCAGCGCAGGCAACGCCCCTGCACCCTGGCTGCAGCTGCAGCTCCATCCCTCCCTCGCGGCCCACTTTCCAAAGTCGCCGATTTTTTGCCTTTTTTCCCAACCGGTTTTTTGGGCGGCCAGCCTTCCGGGCTTGCAAGGTCTTCTGGGGACCACCACCACCACCATCATCATCGAAACCCGCTCCTCGCCCTCAGCCTCCGCCCCGCCATGTCGTTCGCTTTCGAGTTCGACGACTCCGAGATCGACGAAGAGTACCAGGCGTTCAGCGCGCCAAGCACATCATCCCCAACCGCACAACCACCCTCGCTCGCCTCGACCTCGAAACCTACAGCGGCCCCCCAGGCCCCCTTCAAGCAATGGCCACTCCACCACCTCATCGACTCGCTACCTTCGCGCATCTCCTACTCGCCCATCACCATACACCTAGACCCGCGCAATGCACAGAACAGGCAGGCTACCCTCATGCGCAGGGACCTCTTTGACGCACGCTTCCAGATGCTCCTCGACCAACAAGACGACCACGACCTCGAGCACGAACACGACCACGACGACGGTCACGGCGGAACCAGACCATCTCCGCCTGCGCAAACACAGCAAGAGGAACAGGAAAACAAGGCAGTGGCCGGCGTGGACAGCGACCTCGTCCCCGGCGTCTACGAGGGCGGCCTAAAGACCTGGGAATGCGCACTCGACCTCGTCGCAACCCTCGACCAGCGGTGCACGCCAACCTCGCCCGCCGAAACCAGACCTGACTGGGGCTGGCTCCGAGGCAAATCCATACTCGAGCTCGGCTGCGGCACCGCCATCCCCTCCGTCTTTCTCCTCCAGCAGCTCCTCAACCTCGAACCCGCACCCTCGCCCTCGTCCTCGCCCTCGTCCTCGCCCTCTGCCCCCACCGCCCTGCACCTCTGCGACTACAACCTCCAGGTACTCCGCCTCGTCACCCTGCCCAACCTCATCCTCGCCTGGTACTTTTCCGCCGCATCGCACGCCTACCGCACCTCGGCCCAGACGCTCGAGGCCAGGCACGAAGAAACCAGGCAGCTCAAGTCCAGGGGGCAGGACCACTTTGACACGGCGGCCCGAGCCGAGGCTTCGTCGGCGTCGGCCGAGGGGGCCGGGCCGGGAGAGCTCTCGCTCGACGACTCCCTCTGTGACGCGTTCCAGAAGTCGCTCGACGAGCGCAACATCTCGCTTCGCTTCTACTCCGGCTCGTGGCAGGGGCTGCAGCCCGAGGAGATCCTCGCTGACGCCGCGGGAGCTTCGTCAGCGAAGGAGCAGGCGAGCACGGCCAGCCGAGGCTACTTCGACCTCATCCTCAGTGCCGAGACCATATACTCTCTCGACACGCTGCCGCTCTTCACCGACGTTCTCCGACGATGCTGCAAGCCAAGCGCGCCTCCGACCCTCTCTGGTCTCGACGAGCGGCTGGCACGATCGTCCCTGGCGCAGGCGCATGAGTCCGCTTCGACTACCGGGCCCGGCACAGCATCGGCGGCGGAAACAGCGAAGGACGACGGACCAACGACGCTCTGCTTGGTCGGTGCCAAGGTCCTCTACTTTGGCGTGGGCGGCGGCGTCGAGTCGTTCAAGCAGCAGATGCAGACGCCTCCGCCAGGCAGTCGTAAGGGGTGGACGGAAACGGTCAGGACCGTATCGCAGGGTGTGGGCAGGGTCGTCCTCTCTGTCGGCATCCTTCCGGGTGCGTAGGCGGCGCGCGGCGCGGCAGAAGCGGAGCAGGGCAGTGTTAACGAGCACTGGTGCCGCCAAACCGGGCCGGATAGACCGACACTCTGCTCGAAACGCATGACGACGGTGTCACCCGCTTGTGCTGCAGTGCGCGATGTGGCCATGGACCCGCCCTGTCCACCAGGCAACCGTCAAGTGGGCGTCGCCACGAGACTCGGTCCGCGTATACCGGCGAGCCTCCATTTCAAACGACCGACGGAGAACAGGTTGTTGCTGCTACGTTTCTTCGACCCAACGCTTGGACCTCGGCGTAGGGCGATACAGACAAAAGCACCGCTGGCCCGCACTTGGGTCGTGTCGGGCCGGGTTGGCTCGGGGCAGCTCGACGCGCTACAGATTGTCATCGACAATCGCCGTAGCTCGAATCCTGGACATCCACGTCGAAACCAACACCGCGCGCCGCGGGATGGTGTGGCGCGGCACCACGTGGAACTCGAAGCGGCGAGCGCACTCGTGGCGGTGACCCTTACGGCCTCTGACCGATTATCGACCATCGTCATGCATTCACATCGACCGTCGATCGTCACAGAGCAGGTCGGAACGGGGCGGGGAGAAAGGGCCGAGGAGATGGGGATTTCGATCTTCGATCCGGTATTCACGCAAAGAGGAGGCCACGGGGCCGGATTTTTGGTCTTTGCGTCGATCGAAGACCATCGAACGAGATCGATCGGAGCGACTGCGGGCCTGACGACGAGATGGAGTACGATCCGCGTCCGGACCCCACGCACGTGTACGTACCGTCAGGCGGTTTGATGCCTTCCAGATGGTGTCGGAGGGAGGACTGAAGATTTGGCCGAACGTGAATAAGGTCGCAGCGTGACAATCGACGCCTTGGCGGCGACGGCGACTTGACGGAGGATGGAAGACAAAGAGGATCCGATGGGATGGTCAGCGCCTTCGAGGTACTGTAGCGAAGACGAGACGGACGGGACGTACAGAAGAGGCCGCGGCCGGAGCGATACGTGGGGGGTCGCCGAGGCTCTTTTTGTTCCGTTTGGCCGTCGTGCAACGTACGTTGCGCCATGATGCGCTCACCTCGGTGCCATCACCTGGAAGTCGCCATTTGGATCCCCTCTTGCCGCTCAAGGCGCAGCTCACAGCGCCATCGCGATGAACGACAAGATGCAAAGGGAGGGTGGGGATCGTAGACGCTACGGAACACTTCCGCCTCTACCTTTCCTCCTCACAAAAGACCGGGTCAAAGCCCGCCACGCAACATCGCAGCCTCCCGTCGGCCCGAGTATCGATGGCGATGGCGATGGAGAGGACGGGGTGGGAAGACGACCCAGTCTCGGGCGAGCGGGCGGGCGCATGCACAAAAGGCGGTCCAGTCCGGTCCAACGGAACGAGGTCGAGGTCAGGGCGTGAGCTCCATCGGTCGGCTCCCGTCTCCTTCATTGAACCGTTGCGGGCGTCGGCCCGTTCGTACGTAAGCGTATGTAGGTACAGAGGCGGAGGTGAGGTGGATCAGAGGCCTGTGCGCGGGTCCGTACCATGCCATGCCACGCCATACGATGCCATTCCACGTACGGATCGTCTGTCTGCATGGATGGATGTACACCAGCTCAGCATGCGCCTCCCGCTCAGCCACACGCACGGCGCGCACCGACTCGACTTGGCCAGTCGGGTCCCAAACCCTCCCAGCGACGCTCGTTGTGAATTGGTACGGCAGGTTGATATCCTAATCTCCCGTCGAAGCTCACCCGCAGACCTGGACCCTGGGTCATCCTCTCGATAGCGACTCCACGACCTCTGCGAGAGAACGACAGCGGAGAGAGCGGCGGAGCTTCTTGCGATCGTCCCGCTGCAGCGCAAAAACGGCAAGGCAAGGCAAGGCAGGGCAAGGCGGGCGTGTGGGAGGCATGAGGCGGCGTCCGGTACGGTGCTCTGCTGTGCCTGCCGAAGCGTGGCACGGCATGGCATGGCATGGCATGGCGTGGCCGTGGCGTGGGTAACGCAACGCACCCTGC